TTATTTTACAGTTAAAATATATGTTTATCAAATAAAGTCTAATGTTACAACTAATCGGGGATCCCTTAAAAACAAATAATTAAAAAAAGGAATGGTTTAAGACTTTAGCACAGATATATGCACGGCTCCAACAGGTTGTTTTCTGTGCCATCCTTTGAATAAAACCCAGTGTGGTTCTGTCTGCTGTAAACGACTCGTCCTAYGTGCACGTGTGGTGTTAGTTGTGACTGCAGTAAATGAAATTAGAGCAGCTCTCCTCCTCTCATGTCCTGATTGGTTCTTGTCTCGGTCTTCCTGAGTAAAATACATTTTCATTCCACGACAATCAAAGCCCAAAACAAAGCCCATCTGAATAAATTCAGCATCGCAGCCCCCCCAGAGACGTTTTGATCCGATGAGGTGAATTAGCTGCACGTCTGCACAGAAGCCCCGCCGTTTCAAAATAAAAGCATGCTTTTATTTCCGCAAACAGTGATTTACTCGCAGCAACACAATCTTTCCACACGAACTGTCAAACTTCATCTCCTGTTCCAGCAACAGAACCTCCCACTCAAACTCAGATATCAGAGCCCTTCCAGCTCCTTCCACCTCTCAAAGACTTTTATCTTTTTTTTTTCTGACAACTACAGCCTCTTCTTCAAAGCACWGCTACAGCCCAAAGGAACAGGAAGATGTAAAGGAAACATAATTTAACGTGTGAAGAGTCAGAACGAACGGGGCAACAGGACGACACGTTTCTGACGGTCACCGTCAGCTTTCTCCTGGAGAAAAACTGTTTTTTTGTTTTGCTTACGTGAGTTTTTCTGGAGGAGTTTCTCCCTGAGGRGGCGGGATGTGTTTGATCTGAGCTCGTTGTTATCAGGAAGGATTTGCAAAAAACAATTGTCAGGATTTCTGTGCAGCTACTTCAATCCAACACTTTCAGTTTACTGCTCTGAGTTTAGACAAGTCAACATTCATTTAAACATATTTTCCTTAAAAACTCAGCCTGACAGAATAAATTAAAACGAGGAAATATTCAGCTCCTCCGCGGGGTTTGGATTAGTTGCAGAAATGTATCTGCTGACTGTTAATGTGTTCAGACACGTGGCCATAAAAACTGTTAACGTGTTTCATGGTCTCAGTTTACATTGTCTCCATGCATTCTGGTTCTTTTTAAAATGAATTTATTCTCTGAGATGAGCTGCATGAGTCATTAAATCAAGTTAATAATCAGGTTAATAATGAGGTTAATAACAGCAGAACTGCTCTCTTCTATGAAACACTTCAGATTAGTTACTACTTTTCTCAAAACTTGTGTCTCAATGAGCTGCAGCCAAAGATTAACACCAACTTTACTTGTTCAAAATTAAACCTAAAACATTAGTTAGGGGATGCACCGATATGAAAACTTCAGCCGATATCGACATTTGATATAAATATTGCTGTTATGGMCGATAACCAATATTTACCGATATTACACAAAAATTATATTATAGATTCACACACAAACACACTTTGGTCTTTCTTTAATACGGTAAATAAACAACCACTTCAGTTATTCCTGGCTGCACAGCGTGAATATCACTATCATGATCAAACAGATACTGCTCAATCAACCATCTCCCAGAACAGAAACACAGAGATAAAAAGTGGGAAATCAATGTTGGATGTTAATATCGGCCCAGTTATACAAATCGGACTGATACAGATAGTGCAGATATATCGTGCATCCCTAGCCCCAGCTTATTTTTGTGCACAGTCTCGGCCGTGCACATTATTGTTCGACACATCATGCCCTCCGTGACGCTGCCCTCATATTTATGATGAAATCTGCAGGATTGCACTTTTAAAAGGACGATAAATAGATTAAGATGGGTTTTTAAAGTAATTATTCATAATTTCTGTGGTTTTCAGAGATGGACTGTGTCAGAGGAGAGCTCTCGTATCAAATTACAGCTCTGAGGCTCTTTAGACGGRTTGGAGAGACTCGTGACGAACATGAGACTGACTCGAGTCGTTTTGAGAGAAAATTTAAAAAATTTAAGCGATGAAGGACTGTGAGCTGTTTTATTTTGAGATGTTTGCTGTTTGCAAACTTGTGAAAATACAAGTAAAATCTGTGCTTCTAATATTTTTCTTCTTGCCATCATCACTGTTCTAAAATAAAATGGCTACCGGTCCTCTCTGCCTTTTAGGTCCTCGAGAGTTGCTACCCTGCATGTTTTCACTGTTTCTCCGCTCCAACACACCTGGGGTTGGATTTATAAAACTGGCGTACGCACAATTTGAGCCCAGAAACTTGCGTACGCCACTTTTTACGCCAAGGTTGTGATTTATAAAATCCAAACTTGACGTGAAAATGTGCGGTGCCTCACAGCTCTGACCCATGCGTACGCTCATTTTGGAGACGTGAAACTGTGACACAGATGGTGAAGTGAGGAATTAGAGCCACACTGTGTAATGATCACTGTCAGATATTTAATTTACCTTAAATAAAAGTTCCCGTGCACATCTCCATTCATCTGCTTCCTCCTCAGACGACCCTGACCCACAGACCCCTCCCCGAGCAGGACAGCAAAAGTCACGCTTTGGATACACGCGCAGGGCGCATCCACCTCACCAGTGCGCGGATGTTATAAAACTTCATGTTTAAAG